CCAATGTGCATTACTTTACATTTACCAACATTAAATTTCATTTGCCATTTTGTTGCCCAATCACTTAGTTTTGTGAGATGTTTTTGAAGCTCTTCACAGTCTGCTTTGGTCTTAACTATCTTGAGCAGTTTGGTATCATCTGCAAATTTTGCCATCGTACTGTTTACCCCTTTCTCCAGATCATTTATGAATAAGTTGAAAAGGATTGGTCCCAGGACTGACCCTTGGGGGACACCACTAGTTACCCCTCTCCAATCTGAAAATTTGCCATTTATTCCTACCCTTTGTTTCCTGTCTTTTAACCAGTTCTCAAAGCAAGAAATGACCTTCCCTCTTATCCCATGGCCATGTAATTTACACAGGAGCAAAGGTTGGACCAGTTTTCACTATTGTTCAAGTAACGCACTAAAGTTTTATGTAACATGTTATAAAAAGCCGACTCACTTTAAAAAGCAATCTTGTGTATTAACAATGTTGGAAGCTTGCAGTATCCCTCCTTTTCAAGCTTCAGATGAAATTATTGTTTATCTGAAATAAAACGAGAGAGATCATCACTTGCACTTCATACAGGACTTTCCAGTACTACAAGCTCTCCTACTGGGCAACCAAAAACAAAGACTTTGATAAAAAGAGCTGAAAAAGAAAGATACAAAAATGTCATTGGATAAGACTGGATGGCTCAAGGTACTGGTGTATATCTTTTCACTTCAAGTCAAAAGTATCCATCCAATTCAGAGTATAGTTACTGGAAGTTGTGGTCACTGGATTTATTTGCAATCAATTATTAGAGATTTAGAGAACTGTCCACAATCATGCCACAGTTTCTCTAGGAAAGACTGAAACCTTGACAGGAAGTCATGTACGCAAGCTTGCACAGTCTGTACTCTATCTGTTCTGTGTAGATAGGATCTCAGCCTGCAGGGCAGTGCAACTATTGTGAAAGCTTTGTTATCTGGCATTCTGTTAAATGGAAAACTTTGTTAACCAGCATTGCCTCAAATACCGCCGTGTTTCAGGTGCACACACCTGACTCCCATCTGTTCAGCTGGCCATTGCAGGGCTTCTGACAGCTGGCACTGCTGGATTATGTCATCAGCAAGTGCCTCCTTTGCCCTCAGCCTGCTTTGTGCTGCCAAAAGCCAGGTCTGCCAGTAGAAGGCGGAGACAGAGCAATAACCTTTGCTATCTGGCACATTCAATTAAAACACAACCCCCATTTCCCATGAGCGCCAAAGCTTTCACTGTAATTTTTTTTTTAAATGGCAAGAGTTTTTTTGGTTTCACTACTCGCATTTTCCCCCATCCACTGAATTCAAGGATATTTTAAATTGTTCTACCCAAGCTCTTCCTTGACAGTCTTCGGCAGGGTCTTAACCTTTTGTTTAGTCTTGATTATACGAAGCCAAAGAAGATTAAACAACATATCCAGGATCACACTAGAAGCCTTCCAAATTCCTGTTCTTAGGTCCCAGCTGCCTCAATTTTGTGATGCCATAATTAACTGTCAAATGTGTTGTCAGGATTAATAAACTGGTGAAAAAAAAATCCAGAACACACCTTGATAATCTGTAAGTGAACTGGAGCCTGGATATGTAGAAAATGGTTTGGTTGGTTTTGAAATAGAAAACGAGATAAGGCCATTTGGGCACCAATAGTTTGATACAGTGTTTTTATCTCAAAACCCAGAAGATGAGCTTTCAGAACAGAGCCTGCAAACTGAAGTCAAACTAGGTCTCCTGTGGCCTCTTATTCAGGTACAATGGATCTCTATACTTTTTCCAAATGCATTCATGTAATGGAGGAGAAACCCATACTAAAGACAACAGAATTACATCAGCACAAATAAGAAGCAGGTCTAAGAACAGAGTAAGGGTATGTCTACACTTGCAGCCTAATTCGAACTAGGGCTGCAAATGTAGGCATTCGGAATTGCAAATCAAGCCCGGGATTTAAATATCCCGTGCTTGATTTGAATCTTCCCAGCCGGGCGCCTTTCTTGAAATTTCCAAGCCCGAAGTAACTGCCCACGTCTACACACAGCAGTGAAACGGGCATTCGAAATAAAGCCCTAGTTCGAACTACCTGTTATTCCTCCTGCAATGAGGTTAAACAGGTAGTTCGAACTAGGGCTGTATTTCGAACGCTCGTTTCACTGCCACGTGTAGACGTGGGCAGTTACTTCGGGCTTGTAAATTTCAAAAATGGCGCCCGGCCGGGAAGATGCAAATCAAGCATGGGATATTTAAATCCCGGGCTTGATTTGCAATTCCGAATGCCTACATTTGCAGCCCTAGTTTGAATTAGGCTGCAAGCGAAGACATACCCTAAGGGAGTAATAATATGATGATAAAGTTATTTTTAAAAAGTTTAGAGCCCAAAGTGCTAAAACTACTCATGGACAGACTTAAGTTACAAAGTCTTTTGGAAGGTATTTGCCCCAATGGTTACCTGCCACAGTCAAACCTTGGGTTCTCCTTCCCAGTCAGCTGACATCACAAACACTCACATTATGCTGGAATGTGCTTTGTATTCTATTACAGGAATCCAAATTCATCTGGTGCAAGGCTAAAGGCAACAAATACCACAACTATTCCAAGCCAAAAGCTTAAACTAAACAGGTTGCAACTGGTAATTGGAAGGCCCTCATGAAACAATTTAGATGCTTTAGAAACTAAGGTTTTAAATGTAGGGTTTTCATCAGTATTATGTGCTAATATTTTCCCTCCCCCACTGTTCGTGACTCAGTTTATTGCTGCTGTCCACTCCAAATGGTGGCTGCATGAGGTAGCATGTATATGTAGTTCTAAAGCATTTAGGTTCAATATCAGTATTAAATATTGCATGCTCCAATAACCAATATGCAGCAAAGAATTTTAGCTTTGCAGCACCTCAGTGAATTTATCTTAGACTCTAATATTTTAAATTATCTGTGGTTAGTTCCCACCCTTTTTACATTGCAATGGTCTAGTTGTTCAGTACATCTCACCTAGATTGTATTTCCTAAATCAGTGTGATAATAATTCGATGCTTGTGTCACTTTTTAAAGTTAGTTCTCTCATACTGTTGAGATTATACAAAATCTCAGTATGTGTGAACAAATTTAATTTTCAGTTTGTGACTTCCTTGACCAAAGACCTAGGATCAAGTGTGCTTCTCACTAAAGAAAACATGTAGCAAAGAGTTACTTCACCCAAGGATGCAATGGCAGAGGACAAAAACATCCTGTTTGCTTCATGTTCAACATCTGTAATATTTATATTTCCCATATTAGGTCTCTACCATAAACATACTGAATGGGACTCAATTTCAGTCACAAGGCTGTAAATAACATCTCTCGGTTTTTATGGTGTGTTATGATCTGAATATTTCAAGCAGTGAAAGACGACAAGCCTAGAATCAAATTAGTTTTTAAGAATACCTTTCATCAGGTATGATCATCGTACTAGCATTGTATTTCTGATTCGCAATGGCTACATGGTTCATCTAATTGTCCAGTAATTGCGTTCTGGTGATGTTCTACATTTTTAAATTTTAATGCAGACTAGGGATGTAAGCAAGTAGTTGAGTAGGCTTATCAGGTACTCGAATCGACTACTGGCATTTCCATTCCGGCCCCCGCTGCCTCTGTATCAGAGGTAGCAAGGGGGTGTGGGAAGCAAGAGCCAGTGCTGGGGGGAGCCGGCTTAAGAGAGAGAAAACAGCTAGCAGAACATTCTTTGGGACAGACTTTGGAATTCACTGCCTTCATTCATCGAGTGCTCAGGTTTAATGATGTTCAGGGCACAGAGCAAAGTTCATACAGTTTTCTCAGATTTTGGGGAAAGAAAAGGTGAGAGGTATTTTTAAAAGTTAATTTGATCAGTTATTTGTGATATGTATTTGTACAGGAGCATGAAAAGCTGCTGATTTTATTAATCATAGTTCTGTAAGGGTATGTCTACACTACCACCCTAGTTCGAACTAGGGTGGTTAATGTAGGCAACCGAAGTTGCAAATGAAGCCCGGGATTTGAATTTCCCGGGCTTCATTTGCATCTTGCCGGGCGCCGCCATTTTTAAAGCCCCGCTAGTTCGGACTCCGTGCCCGCGGCTACACGCAGCACGGAGTAGGTAGTTCGGATTAGGCTTCCTATTCCGAACTACCGTTACTCCTCGTGGAACGAGGTGTACCGGTAGTTTGGAATAGGAAGCCTAATCCGAACTACCTACTCCGTGCTGCGTGTAGCCGCGGGCAGGGAGTCCGAACTAGCGGGGCTTTAAAAATGGCGGCGCCCGGCAAGATGCAAATGAAGCCCAGGAAATTCAAATCCCGGGCTTCATTTGCAACTTCGGTTGCCTACATTAACCACCCTAGTTCGAACTAGGGTGGTAGTGTAGACATACCCTAAGTTATTAAGTGCATAGCAGGATAGGCACTATTTTTAAAAGCTTGGTTACCAAATTAAAAGTGAATCTAAACTCCCACCGTTCCCATCTTAAGTTCCATTAAGTGATTAGAACTGCCCTAGAGCACAGTTTAATAATACAAACACCAATTCTTGAAATTCAAATTCTAATGTAAAGTAATTAAAACTAGAACACTTAGGAGCATGAAATCAAATTCCAAACACCAGTCATTTAGTCACAAATTCCACTCAGTATTAAATTTTTAAATGTTGATGCTAGGGTTGCCAGATGGTTGAAACAAAAATACCAAACACCTCCACCACCACAAAAAAAACACCAGGAAAAAATTCTGTTGAAGAAAAAAAAGAGGGGGGGAACCAAAGTTGTTGAGAAAAAAAACAAAACAACTCCAAGACCATTTTGTGCCAGCAGCCTTGCAGAACCAGGTAAGCATGGGGGTTGGGGTCGGGGGGCTGGGGGGTTGCCAGATGGTTGAAACAAAAATACCAAACACCTCCACCACCACAAAAAAAACACCAGGAAAAAATTCTGTTGAAGAAAAAAAAGAGGGGGGGAACCAAAGTTGTTGAGAAAAAAAACAAAACAACTCCAAGACCATTTTGTGCCAGCAGCCTTGCAGAACCAGGTAAGCATGGGGGTTGGGGTCGGGGGGCTGGGGGTGTTGAGAGCCGGGGAGGTTCGGGGGGGCATGGGAGGCCGGGGGCTGAGGGTTTGTAG